CGTCTGATGAGCCCATTCCTGGAGCAATATCAATAGTTTCCTCTGAAGTACCCTTACCTTTCTTGTTTTCTTTCCTTGATAATATCAAAGGTGGGGCGCTCGGGCATGATCTCGAGTTTCGAATGTAGACTGTTTTCTTGTTGCCTTTGCCCTCTACAATGAGGGCATCCCCCATTTTCTTGAAAAGATTCACAAGCTTGACACCGGGCTCGGATGTGTAAAGTGGCCTTCCAAAGACTCTCTGGTACTCGGCACGAACCTTAGTGACGGGTAAGGACCCTCCAGAAACCTCTAGCAACTTAACCAATTGTCCCTTCAGAACATTTAAGTCTCCTGTTTGTGGCCACCAAGTGGACTCATTCTGGTCTCCACATGAAACGGGGCCCGTTGGAACGTCGCTCAGACCACATGGGAGACTCTGTGACCTCAAACTTGGAGGTGCACAAGGAACTGTCGAATTGCCGTTGTATTCAGATAAAGCCTGAGTGACTACTGAAAAATCCCTGAGGTTGTGATAGCCATGGGAGACCCCTCCATAGACGATCGCTTCCTCTTCGTTTTGACCATCTGGATCGTCATTGATATGGCATCCCTTGAGATATCCAGAAATTTCAGCCGCTCCACCACGGGAAGTCAACATTTTGGGGGAACGTGCAAAGCCTTCACCACGAGCCACAGTCGGCCAATCCCAAACGTACTTCCCCGCATTGCAAAGGGCAGATGAAACGCCCACACCAGAAGGGATGACGAGTATCACATTATATCCACGTTGACCTAAAATGTGAAGAGCTGGAGCAAAATCGACATCTCCAGATATGAGCATTATGGAAGATGGGGGAGGGTTGTCGAGGGCAAAGAGAAACATATCGACCAGTATAGCCTTGTCCGCAGCATCCTTCCGACCATTCGGCACATCAATTAGTTTGACCCCCGTTCGCTGACACCCTTCTCTCAATCGTCTAGGAAAAGCATTGAAATCCCCATATGCAGAAAACATCATAACTGCCCCTTTTATTACCGGGTGCACTCGCAAAGCCATTCTTATATTACCAGCTACATCTTCAGGGCGGACATCACTCGGAACAGGGCAATTCTCGATATCCCAAAGGATGGCCACAGGACCGTCCGGAGAACTTCGAGTTTGCAGACTTGGAGGAGCCTGAGAAACATTCCTGTTTAAGTCTTCCATTTGGATTTTCCTTTGCTCCAATGATTCAGATTAAGCAAGCACTGTTTTTTACATGTTTAAACAAGCCAGGATATTATTTCCCTTCAGAATCAAATGCTTAAAATACAAACTCATGAAACACAATCGAAAAAAGTTAGAAAAGTAAACTACATATAGTATACGTAACACGAGCCCAAGTTTCTCATTGCTGATTCACATGCACAACCCAAACACCATTGGCATACGTTCGGCCTTCCCGACCCCAAATTTCATAGACTGAACTTATTAAACCATGCGCCAACCATTCTTTAGGGTTTCGACACCATGTAGATCACAAAATGGGGGGAAATTGTACATATTATTACTACGAGAAACAGGCAATCATGAAAAAGGAAATACACATCTCACTAAAAATTGTTGGACCAAATGGATACATTATGCTGAGAGGTTTGCTTCTTCTTGTATACTTCTCACTATCAGAGCAATTTGGCCTTAATCTTCCTAACAGTTCTCATGACTCCTCAGTAATCTGAAACCCAAAACCCAAATCATAAAGTCACCTCAGGTTGAGGACTGTTAGGGAAGGATCATGGGTTTATAAGTAAGGAATACATCTCCATTCGTACGAGGCATTTTGGGGAAGCCCAAAGCAAAACCACGAGAGCTTATGCTCAACGTGTACAATATCATACCATAGTGGAGGTTCGTAATTCCTAACATGGTATCAGAGCCATGCCCTTAACTTAGCCATGTAAATAGGATCCTCAAATGTCGAACAAATAAGTTGTGAGCCTCGAAGGTGTAGTAAAAATGACTCAAGTGTCAAACAAAGAATATACTTTGTTCGAGGACTCTAGAGAAGGAATCGAGCCTCGATTAAGAGGAGACTGTTTGAGGGATCCTTAGGCCTCGATAGAGGCTCTATAGTGTACTTTGTACGAGGGGAGGATTTTTGGGAGGGAGTCCCATACTGACTAATTTAGGGAACGATCATTGGTTTATAAGTAAGGAATACATTGGTATGAGGCCTTTTAGGAAAGCCCAAAGCAAATCCATGAGAGCTTAGGCTCAAAGTGGACAATATCATACCATTGTGGAGGTTCGTAATTCCTAATACTTCATTGCCACAAAGCTTTCAAATGGTTAATCCCCTCAGATGACAGCCAACAAACAGCATCAAAATTTCAAACTTCACTAACTAATGAGGACTCAGAGAAACAAGCTGCAATTTGCTGCCCAATAAACTACTGTCAATTCATTGCAGCTCGACATCTTGATCTGAACCAATTGAACTGTTTATAGCCATATCCAAATTGAAGGGATTTCAGGGCAGAATTAGAAGATATTTTTTGTAAAGCATCTCAAAATTTCAAGCAGACTTTCACCAAAACTAACAGCATTCCTAAAGCTCCATGAAAGCAGCTTCATGGAGAAAAAAGAAAACGACAGAACAAATGAAGCCCAGTTCATCAAAAACCCATCCGATGATTTTCCAATTACAGACCAACCGACCATCAAATTGAACACAACAATAACCTCAAAACATCATATCCAATCAAATTCAAGCGATAATTTCCACTGAACTACACGATTAGCACAAAAACCCAATAAAAATGTACCTCGCAATGATGCAAGAGGTCCTCAGCGTAATAGCAGCCTCAGCTTCAGTAAGATCCTGAAGAACAGAAAATAGAGTTCGCAAGAGATCTTAAAGTAAGTAGCAGATACAGAAAGATCCGTTCGGTAATCAAATTCAACAAAAATTAAGAGAACAAGCAAAAAGGGTCAAATTCAGAGAGAGATGAAGAGTTCGGTGTGTACCTGACCTCAAGATGAAGAAAGGGAGTTCATGAGGGAAAGAAATTTCGATTTTTATCTTCGACAAAAAAAAAAAAAAAAAAAAGGGG